TTTTGGCAAGTTGGTTAGGACATCTACTTTGTGCATGACACAAGTAATTTTTCCAACAATTGTTTACAGACAGATTATTTCACTGTATCACAACTCCAGTGGGTCAGAAGTTGACTAAATTGACTGTACCTTTTAAACAGCTTGGAAAATTCCAGAAAATGATGTCATGGCTTTAGAAGCTTCTGATAGGCTAATTGACATCATTTGAGTCACTTGGTGGTGTACCTGTTGATGTATTTCAAGTCCTACCTTCAAACTCAGTGCCTCTTTGCTTGACATCATGGGAAATCAGCCAAGACCTCAGAAAAATAATTGTAGACCTCTACAAGTCTGGTTCATCCTTGGGAGCAATTTCCAAACGCCTGAAGGTACCACATTCATCTGTACAAACAATAGTATGCAAGTATAAACACCATGGGACCACGCAGCCGTCATACCGCTCAGGAAGGAGACGCGTTCTGTCTCCTAGAGATGAACGTACTTTGGTGCGAAAAGTGCAAATCAATCCCAGAACAACAGCAAAGGACCTTGTGAAGATGCTGGAGGAAACAGGTACATAAGTATCTATATCCACAGTAAAACGAGTCCTATATTGACATAACCTGAAAGGCCGCTCAGCAAGGAAGAAGCCACTGCTCCAAAACCACCATAAAAAATACAGACTATGGTTTGCAACTGCACATTGGGACAAAGATCGTACTTTTTGGAGAAATGTCATCTGGTCTGATGAAACAAAAAAAGAACTGTTTGGCCATAATGACCATCGTTATGTTTGGAGAGAAAAGGGGGTGGCTTGCAAGCCGTAGAACACCATCCCGACCGTGAAGCACGGGGGTGGCAGCATCATGCTGTTGGGGTGCTTTGCTGCAGGAGGGACTGGTGCACTTCACAAAATAGATGGCATCATGAGGAAGGAAGATTATGTGGATATATTGAAGCAACATCTCAAGACATCAGTCAGGAAGTTAAAGCTTGGTCGCAAATGGGTCTTCCAAACGGACAATGACCCCCAAGCATACTTCCAAAGTTGTGGCAAAATGGCCTAAGGACAACAAAGTCAAGGTATTGGAGTGGCCATCACAAAGCCCTGACCCCAATCCTATAGAACATTTGTGGGCAGAACTGAAAAAGCGTGTGCGAGCAAGGAGGCCTACAAACCTGACTCAGTTACACCAGCTCTGTCAGGAGGAATGAGTTTAAATGTATTTGGCTAAGCTGTATGTAATCTTCCAACTTCAACTGTACTATCTCATAATAATGACTTACAATCTCATAACTCATAGTCAGATCATTTTTGTGGGGTGGTGGGAACAAGCTTCCATAATTATGCCATGGAGCAAAGGGAACCTTTTGCAGTTTTAAAGTTCAGTTTTAAAGCCCATTTCCTGCAATTCTACATATTTTTTATGTCTTATGTGTTTTCATATGATACCAGAAGTCGAATCCCGACCGAATTCCTAAAAAACTATAAAAACATATTTTTTATGTCTGGGCCCACGGTCCGTATTGACCCCTTTCTGGGCCGGATCTGGCCCTTCAGTCCGCCTGTTGAGTATGGCTGTAATAGCTGTAGTCTGTTTCAATATTTATTTCCCTAAACTGTATCTGATCTAGGGTTGCAAAACTACTGTAATATTCAGTAATTTTGGTAATTAACAGAAAATCTATGGCAATCCATCGTAACTTTGGGAATTCTTTGGTAATATATACACTACCGGTCAAAGGTTTTAGATCACCTACTCATTCAAGGGTTTTTCTTAATTTTTACTGTTTTCTAAATTGTAGAAAAATTGTGAAGACATCAAAACTATGAAATAACACATATGGAATCATGTAGTAACCAAAAAAGTGTTAAACAAATCAAAATATATTTTATATTTGAGATTCTTCAAATAGTCACCCTTTGCCTTGATTACAGCTTTGCACAATTGGCATTCTCTCAACCAGCTTCACCTGGAATGCTTTTCCAACAGTCTTGAAGGAGTTCCCACATATGCTGAGCACTTGTTGGCTGCTTTTCCTTCACTCTGCGGTCCGACTCATCCCAAACCATCTCAATTTGGTTGAGGTCGGGGGATTGTGGAGGCCAGGTCATCTGATACAGCACTCCATCACTCTCCTTCTTGGTAAAATAGCCCTTACACAGCCTGGAAGTGTGTTGGGTCATTGTCCTGTTGAAAAACAAATGATAGTCCCACTAAGCCCAAACCAGATGGGATGGCATATCGCTGCAGAATGCTGTGGTAGCCATGCTTGTTAAGTGTGCCTTGAATTCTAAATAAATGCGTTCACCCACACCGCGTCTCACAAAGACACAGCGGTTGGAACCAAAAATCTCAAATTTGGACTCCAGACCAAAGGACACATTTCTACCGGTCTAATGTCATTGCTAGTGTTTCTTGGCCCAAGCAGGTCTCTTCTTCTTATTGGTGTCCTTTATTAGTGGTTTCTTTGCAGCAATATGACTATGAAGGCCTGATTCACACAGTCTCCTCTGAACAGTTGATGTTGAGATGTGTCTGTTACTTGAACTCTGTGAAGCATTTATTTGGGCTGCAATTTCTGAGGCTGGTAACTCCAATGAACTTATCCTCTGCAGAAGAGGTAACTCTGGGTCTTCCATTCCTTTGTCGGTCCTCAAGAGAGCCAGTTTCATCATAGCGCTTGATGGTTTTTGCGACTGCACTTGAAGAAACTTTCAAAGTTCTTAATTGTCCGTATTGACTGACCTTCATGTCTTAAAGTAATGATGGACTGTCGTTTCTCTTTGCTTATTTGAGCTGTTCTTGCCATAATACGGACTTGGTCTTTTACCAAATAGGGCTATCTTCTGTATACCCCCCCCCCTACCTTGTCACAACACAACTGATTGGCTCAAACGCATTAAGAAGGAAATAAATTCCACAAATTAACTTTTAACAAGGCACACCTGTTAATTGAAATGCATTCCAGGTGACTACCTCATGAAACTGGTTGAGAGAATGCCAAGAGTGTGCAAAGCTGTCATCAAGGCAAAGGGTGGCTATTTGAAGAATCTCAAATAAAAAATATATTTGTTTAACACTTTTGGTTACTACATGATTCCATGTGTTATTTAATAGTTTTTATGTTTTCACTATTATTCTACAATGTAGAAAATAGTAAAAAAATAAATAAATAAAGAAAAACCCTTGAATGAGTAGGTGTGTCCAAACTTTTGACCTGTAGTGTATATAATTTTTTTCGGCCTCCATATTGTCCATGAGTTTCTAGTAGATAGACCATATGGTTCAAGAGAAAATAGCATAATTAATGAAAAAAGCATCTAATCAACAATGGCATTATTTTAAATTAAAGGACTGGTTTACCCAAAATCCAGAAACTCCAAAGTGATTCCATATATTGAAACTAGTTTGTCCTTTCCCCTTCTCTTCACGAGTCACATCACTCGTGATGTTGGTGGATGCAGGCCTTGCACTGTTCCGTTGTCAGTGAAAACATGATTCACAAATCTGCAAACTGTGGACAAATTCATCGTTTTATTGAAAGCGTACTGCCTAATTAGCTATTGGTTTTGAGTCAGGAAATGTGTACTTTTCCACCTAAAATGTTTGAGATTATTTTATATAATTATGCTACGTAGCCAACTGCCACAGCAGTAGCGATGGGTAACAACTGCGCATGAGCGCCCTCGTGTTGGAAACCCTGCTACGTAGAAACATCATGATATGCCCTTATATAGAGCTTGATGTTACAGATTACATTTTTTGGGGGAGGTAGAAGTAGTGATGATACTGATGACAGTACATTCACATTATAGTTATCTAGAAAAAAACAACCATGTCACGCCTACTCCCGCTCCAGCGCTCATTACGCACTCCTGGACCACATCATCATCTTGATTACTCTCCCTTTATTTAGCCCTCAGTAATCAGGCAGGATTGGTTTTGTCACGTTCAATACGCTTTCAATCTGGCTTTTTCTTATGATTAAACTCACCTTCTGCACCAATAACATGTCTGACGACGAAAGAGTTGAGTGAGGAGGAAGAGTATCTTACTGGAGGGGCCGTCGATGTTGTCCAACCTTATTTATTTGATTCTGACAAATAAATATAGGTAAATTGAACTTAAGATGGCAGCCGCTGTTTTAGAAACCGAGGCCGCAACAGCAGCCAGAGTCCCATCCCATCCCCAGGATCAAAAGACTGGTGGTACAGTTGTGGCAATTGCGCTCCAATGCCAACGGATGTGCTGCAGAGAATTCAAATATGTGACTACAATTCTTACAGACATGGAGGAACATATTGATGATGAGGAGCAGTTAGTTTGCTTTTGCGACCACAGGGATTTTGCTGCCTACATAAACTCTGGTGTCCTGGAAACATTTTCCCATATTCCAAAAAGGGATTGGAGACGCAACCCTGTTCCAGCTGCGCCAAATAGACAGTTATCAATCGAGTAGCTAAACTCTACTTTATTGAATGATGGCTTATCATAAACCTCTGAGCGGGACCATTAGTGGGTTTATGTTTTCACATTAGCTCAAACCACTATATGGCCTATGTTTATTTATCACTATGTTTTGGGGATATTATATTGCGCAAATGTTAGGTAACACAATGTATTTTGTCTCCTCAACCCCCCTTGTCATAGATACATGTACATAGGGAATATATACTAACCTGTAGAGCACCTAGGCCAGGGTTCTTCAATTCCGGTCCTGGAGGGCCGAAACACCTCTGTTTTTCATCATCTCCTTCTAATCAGGGGCTAATTCAGACCTGGGACACCAGGTGAGTGCAATTAACTACCAGGTATAAATAAAAAAACAGAAGCGTTTCGGCCTTTTGGCTCAGATCAAGCTTGGTACCGAGGTGCCCCAAAGCCCGCTGAGTCAGAAGGTCGAAAAAAGGAAGGAGGGAGGAGGTTTTCTTATCTTTTTGGATTTGGTGGGAACCAGATTTTTTCGGTTTTCATTTTTCTTTGGCTTCTTGGTTAAGAGAGCTTTTTTGGGAAAAGATGGAGCAGCAGAAGCCAATACCAGGGATGGGTTTGGCAAACACGGTGAGGTTTTCCTGGACGGACAAGGAGATGGAGCCGTGGGGAAGAGAGACGTTCGGGAGAAATATCCTGATGGGGTGCCTGAAGCTACAGGTGAAAGATGTTCTGTGCCTTCAGGTCAACCCGATGGAGAACGCGTACGACGTGACATTCCACTTGGAGGAGAAGCATGACGGCGTGATTAAGAAGGTGAGGGAAGGGAAAGGAGCAAGACCTCTGTGCCATTACGAGGTGACCAGCCTGGCAAGGAACAATTTCAGGGTGGTCACCGTAACAATGTACAATCCGCATGTAAAGGATGAGGAGGTGAGGGCCTTTCTGGGGAGATATGTTGACAACGTCTCCTCAGTGAGGCACCTCAGGGACTCCCTGGGATTCTGGAACGGGAGGAGAGGGTTCCAGGTGCTTCTCAGGGAGGACCCGAAGGGTTTGGGTGGCTACCTCCATCCTCCGCCAATGTTCTCCCTGGGGGCTGACAGGGGGACATTGTTTTATGCCCGTCAGCCTCCGTTCTGCAGGCGGTGTATGGTCTACGGCCATATCCTGGCCTCGTGCAACACCAGAAAGTGCAGGTTCTGTGGTTCGGGAGAGCACGAGGCCAAGGATTGTGACGAGCCCAAGGCTTGCCACGGGTGTGGCTCGGTAGCACACCTGTGGCGTCATTGCCCGGCTCGTAAGAGGTCGTATGCGTCTGCAGCTGGAGGGGGAGCGGGGGATGGGGGGAGAAGAGAAAGAAAGGGAGCGGATGACAGTAATGGCATGGGGGAAAAGAATGCACAGGAAGAGGATGGGAGGAAGGAGGCTGCGAGAGGAGAGGGGCGAGGAGAAGAGAAGGCTGGAACAGGAGGAGAGGAGGCGGAAGGAGGTGAAGGAGCGGAGGAGAAGGAGGCTGGGTCAGTGGAGAGAAGAGGAGGAGGAGGAGGAAACGGTGACGGGAATGGAAGGAGAAGCAGAGACGGGACCAGAAGAAGGAGCGGAGAAGGGGGAAGGAGTGAAGGAGTGGGGGGACAGCATGTCGAGCGCCTTAGTTGAAGAGATGAGGGGAATGGTGGAGGAGATAGCGGGGAAGGGGGGTGGTGTCTCCCCGTTGCCTCCAACACCAAAGAAGAAGAAAGGGAAGAGGAGGGGGGGCTCGACAGGCTGTGAGGGGGAGGGGAGTGTGGGGGTGGGGGAGGGGTTGGCCAAGCGAGGGATGGGGGAGGGAAGAACGCCCTTGTCCTCGTTGGTTTCCTCAGTCCCTCAACGTTTGGTGGAGGGTGACTCCCAAGGGTTGGTTCAGGCCTGGTTGTCTGAGGGGGGATCTCAACTCCTGTTTGGGGTGGTGGGGTCCCCTACTATTAGCCCAGCAGCCTACAGGGAGGGAGGAATGGAGGGTGTTGAGGGGGAACCCAGGATGCAGGGCTTTACAAGGCTTAACACTATGCCTGCATCCTGGGTTGGAGAGATGGAGGAGGACGGGGGGACGTCAGGAGAGGAGAAGACGTCCCTGCCGGATGAGATGAAGCAGGGGAGCATCGGGTGAGTCTCCTGTTTTTGTTTTTGTTGGTTTCCGTTTTGTTGATGTGAGGTTTATTTTATAATGGATCTTTCTGTTAATATTTTCAGTTTAAATGTAAGGGGGTTGAGGGATTTTGTTAAGAGGAGGGCAGTTTTTAGTTTTTTGGAAGGAGTGGGTTTTGATGTTTGTTTTTTACAGGAGGTTCACCTGAGGGATGGAGGGGATGTTGAAAGGTTTAAGAGGGAGTGGGATAAGGGGGAGTCAGTTTGGGGTATAGGTGGGGTTCATTCAACAGGGGTGGGGATTTTGTTTGGGAATAGGGAGGTGAAAATAGAGGATACTTTTGTTGTGATACAGGGCAGGGTTTTGGGGGTGGATGTTACTTTTAGGGATAGTAGGTATAGGTTAGTGGGGGTGTATGGGCCACAGGTGGCGGCAGACAGGAGAGAGATGGTGGACTGTCTGGCGCCCCTGTGTGTTACAAATAGGCACTTGGTGATAGGAGGGGATTTTAATGTAGATTTAGGGGTAGGGGGGGATAGCAGTGCAGGTGCCATCACCGGGCTGATGGCTTGCCATGGTTTGGTTGATGGTGGCCTGCACACTACTCCGACAATGGCTGGTCCCACGTGGCGCAACTCCCGGGGGGTTGCGCGGAGGCTGGACTACATTTTTATATCCAGGTCTTTGGGTAAGTTGTCTGGGCGGCTGTTGCCTGTTTTCTTTTCAGATCACGACGGGGTGCTCCTGCAGGTGGGGTCGCCAGTCTGCCTCTTCGGTAGGGGGTACTGGAAATTAGATCGGGATGTGCTGGAGGAGCAAGTTTTCGTTGACGCCTTTTGCATTTTCTTTCGGAGGATGGAAGGCCTCCGGTCCATGTGTGAGGGGGTGTTAGAGTGGTGGGATTTAGTTAAGGTAAGGATTAGGGCCTTTATAATAGGATATTGTAAGAGGGAAAAAAGGGAGGAAAGGAGGGAGGTGGATCGTATCCAAAGGTTGCTCGAACTCGAGTACGAGGCAGGCAACCTCGGCGGGTCGATTGACTGGGAGAGATCAGCAGCCCTGAAGGCGCAGCTCAGGGAGCTGCAGGAGCGGAAGGCTCGAGCTTTCCTGGAGCGTGCGCATAGTGGCTTTCTAGAACACAATGAGACTTGTTCCGCTATGTTCTTTAAGTCGGTTAGGAGCAGACAGAGTAGGAAGGTAATGAATGGGGTTAGGGAAGAAAATGGTAGGATAGTCAGAGAGCCAGAGGAGATGGTCAGGGTGACAACTGACCATTTCCGAGGTTTATTTAAGGAGAGGGAAATAGATGTAGAGCAGGGAAATGTGTTTTTAGAACACTTGTCCCGGCGTTTGCCGGAGGACATTAGAGAAGCGATGGAGGCTCAGATTTCCCTAGAAGAGGTTGAGAGCGCTCTTAGGAGGATGGGAAAAGGGAAGGTGCCCGGGATGGATGGGTTGCCGGCCGAGTTTTATCTCAAGTTTTGGGGTATACTTGGACCGGTGGTCCTTGAAGTCTTGAAGGCCATCCTTGGGACGGGGGTCCCGGGGGGATCAATGGCTGTTGGTGTGCTGTCACTTCTTTATAAGAAGGGGGAAGTAACAGACCTTGGCAACTGGCGGCCGTTGACCATGCTGTGCGTAGACTACAAGATACTTGCAAAGGTTTTAGCAGACCGGTTGCGCACAGCCCTTCCCTACGTCGTCCACGAGGATCAGACGTGCGGGGTAGAGGGCCGCTCCATTAGATGGAACCTACAGTTGATCAGGGACTCCATCGCTTGGGTAGAAGATAGAGGGTTGCCTCTAATGGTAGCAGCGCTAGATCAGGCGAAAGCCTTTGATCGCGTGAATAGGTATTTTCTATTCAGGGTGTTAGGTAGATTAGGATTTGGGGAGGAGTTTATAGGATGGATCCGTACATTATACAGTGGGGAAAAAAAGTATTTAGTCAGCCACCAATTGTGCAAGTTCTCCCACTTAAAAATATGAGAGAGGCCTGTAATTTTCATCATAGGTACACGTCAACTATGACAGACAAAATGAGATTTTTTTTCTCCAGAAAATCACATTGTAGGATTTTTAATGAATTTATTTGCAAATTATGGTGGAAAATAAGTATTTGGTCACCTACAAACAAGCAAGATTTCTGGAATCTCACAGACCTGTAACTTCTTCTTTAAGAGGCTCCTCTGTCCTCCACTCGTTACCTGTATTAATGGCACCTGTTTGAACTTGTTATCAGTATAAAAGACACCTGTCCACAACCTCAAACAGTCACACTCCAAACTCCACTATGGCCAAGACCAAAGAGCTGTCAAAGGACACCAGAAACAAAATTGGAGACCTGCACCAGGCTGGGAAGACTGAATCTGCAATAGGTAAGCAGCTTGGTTTGAAGAAATCAACTGTGGGAGCAATTATTAGGAAATGGAAGACATACAAGACCACTGATAATCTCCCTCGATCTGGGGCTCCACGCAAGATCTCACCCCGTGGGGTCAAAATGATCACAAGAACGGTGAGCAAAAATCCCAGAACCACACGGGGGGACCTAGTGAATGACCTGCAGAGAGCTGGGACCAAAGTAACAAAGCCTACCATCAGTAACACACTACGCCGCCAGGGACTCAAATACTGCAGTGCCAGACGTGTCCCCCTGCTTAAGCCAGTACATGTCCAGGCCCGTCTGAAGTTTGCTAGAGTGCATTTGGATGATCCAGAAGAGGATTGGGAGAATGTCATATGGTCAGATGAAACCAAAATAGAACTTTTTGGTAAAAACTCAACTCGTCGTATTTGGAGGACAAAGAATGCTGAGTTGCATCCAAAGAACACCATACCTACTGTGAAGCATTGGGGTGGAAACATCATGCTTTGGGGCGGTTTTTCTGCAAAGGGACCAGGACGACTGATCCGTGTAAAGGAAAGAATGAATGGGGCCATGTATCGTGAGATTTTGAGTGAAAACCTCCTTCCATCAGCAAGGGCATTGAAGATGAAACGTGGCTGGGTCTTTCAGCATGACAATGATCCCAAACACACCGCCCGGGCAACGAAGGAGTGGCTTCGTAAGAAGCATTTCAAGGTCCTGGAGTGGCCTAGCCAGTCTCCAGATCTCAACCCCATAGAAAATCTTTGGAGGGAGTTGAAAGTCTGTGTTGCCCAGCGACAGCCCCAAAACATCACTGCTCTAGAGGAGATCTGCATGGAGGAATGGGCCAAAATACCAGCAACAGTGTGTGAAAACCTTGTGAAGACTTACAGAAAATGTTTGACCTGTGTCATTGCCAACAAAGGGTATATAACAAAGTATTGAGAAACGTTTGTTATTGACCAAATACTTATTTTCCACCATAATTTGCAAATAAATTCATTAAAAATCCTACAATGTGATTTTCTGGAGAAAAAAATTCTCATTTTGTCTGTCATAGTTGACGTGTACCTATGATGAAAATTACAGGCCTCTCTCATCTTTTTAAGTGGGAGAACTTGCACAATTGGTGGCTGACTAAATACTTTTTTTCCCCACTGTATGTCGGAGCGGGGTGCCGGGTTAGCGTAAACAGTCACTTGGGTGACGTTTTTGACCTCGAGTCTGGGGTCAGGCAGGGGTGCCCGCTCTCGGCTCTCCTCTTCGTTCTGTACATGGAGCCTCTGGGGGCTGCCATTAGGGCAGACACAGGGGTGGAGGGCTTGTTGATTCCTGGAAGCGGTGGGTTGCGCGTCAAGTTGACGCAGTACGCCGATGACACTTCCTTGCTGCTTTGCAAGGACTCGTGCCTGACAAGGTCCCTTGCCATTATTGGGGACTTCACCCGGGCGTCGGGAGCGGTTCTTAACCACGCAAAGTCTTCCGTTAAGTTCTTCGGAAGATGGCGTGGTAGGACGGATGTGCCCGGGGGGTTATCTCTCTGTAAGGGGGCCCTGAGGATTCTCGGGGTCCATTTTGAGACCTCCGGCTCAGCGACGCTGAACTGGAACATGGGTATCGCAGTGGTACAGAGGAAGCTAGCGATGTGTAGGGCTAGGTCATTGTCCTTTATAGGCAAGGTCCTGGTTCTCAAGGTGGATGTATTGCCGTCTCTTTTGTACTTGGCATACATCTACCCATTGCCGGCTTGTCTGAGGAGGCCTCTGGTGAGGCTAGTGTTTCAGTTCATGTGGGGTGGCAGGTACGAGTGGGTCGCCAGGGCGCGCATGCTCTGCCCCATCGGGGAGGGAGGTAGGGGGGTACCACATCTCCCCCTCAAGCTGGACACAATTTTTGTTTCTTTTCTGTTGACGGAGCTTGCTCAGCCGGTAATACACCCGTCCGGTTACCTCCTGCGGGTGTTCTTCTCGTATCAGGCGAGAAGCGTAATGGTGTGGTCTAACACGGGTCCTCGGGCGGAACAGCTGCCGTGGCACTCCGGCCATGCGGCCAAGTGGCTGCGTGCACACCCCGAGGTTGAAGTTGCCCGAGTAGGTTTAGTTCACAGGCACCTGTACGAGGAGGTCAGACAGGCAGGGAGTCTGGCGCCGGTAGTGGGCATCCCGGCAGTGGTGTGGGAGGGAGTGCAGGCGCGGGGCCTGTACAATAGGCTCAAGGACCTGAATTGGTTGAGCCTCCACAAGTGTTTGCCGGTACGGTCCATCATGTACCGACATGGCTTGGCGAGATCCCCCACCTGCCCAAGGCCGTCTTGTGGCAGGGAGGAGACTGTGCGTCATGTATTTTGGGACTGTGCCTTTGCCGGAGTAGTATGGGCTAGGGCACGGGTGTTGTTAGGAAGGGTAAGAGGGGATTTTGTGTTGACGTGGGCGAAGTTAGAGAGGGGTGTAGGGAGAGCGAGAGGGACAGAGAGGGATAGGTTTCTGCTCTGGCTTCTCATGAGTCTCTTTAAACGGGGGCTGTGGGAAGCCAGGCAGAACATGGTTAAGACAGGGAGAGATTGGGGGGTGGAAGGGGTAGTGAGGAGGGTGGAAGGAGATTTGAGGGGGAGGATGAAGAGGGAGGAGAGGAAGTGGGGGCAGCACGCTGCCCGGGAGAGGTGGAAAGGGGGTTTAGGGCTGGGGTTAAGTTAGATGGTTTAATGGGATAGTTTAGGGACGGGGAGATATAGGGAGAGGTAGTTTGTAGGATGATGGGGAGGGAAGATGCTCCCCTGAGTTTTGTTTGGGGTTTTGTGTTTGTTTTGATTTAAAAATGCCAATATTATTCGAGTGGGAATGAAATGTATGATTTTGTAAAGTATGAATGGCATTGAGCGTAATAAATTATTTTTTCAAAAAAAATAAAAATAATAATCTGGCTTTTTCTTATGATTAAACTCACCTTCTGCACCAATAACATGTCTGACGACGAAAGAGTTGAGTGAGGAGGAAGAGTATCTTACTGGAGGGGCGTCGATGTTGTCCAACCTTATTTATTTGATTCTGACAAATAAATATAGGTAAATTGAATTTAAGATGGCAGCCGCTGTTTTAGAAACCGAGGCCGCAACAGCAGCCAGAGTCCCATCCCATCCCCAGGATCAAAAGACTGGTGGTACAGTTGTGGCAATTGCGCTCCAATGCCAACGGATGTGCTGCAGAGAATTCAAATATGTGACTACAATTCTTACAGACATGGAGGAACTTATTGATGATGAGGAGCAGTTAGTTTGCTTTTGCGACCACAGGGATTTTGCTGCCTACATAAACTCTGGTGTCCTGGAAACATTTTCCCATATTCCAAAAAGGGATTGGAGACGCAACCCTGTTCCAGCTGCGCCAAATAGACAGTTATCAATCGAGTAGCTAAACTCTACTTTATTGAATGATGGCTTATCATAAACCTCTGAGCGGGACCATTAGTGGGTTTATGTTTTCACATTAGCTCAAACCACTATATGGCCTATGTTTATTTATCACTATGTTTTGGGGATATTATATTGTGCAAATGTTAGGTAACACAATGTATTTTGTCTCCTCAACCCCCCTTGTCATAGATACATGTACATCAGGGAATATATACAACCTGTAGATCACTAGGCCAGGGTTCTCAATCCGGTCCTGGAGGGCCGAAAACACCTCTGTTTTTCATCATCTCATTCTAATTCAGGCTAATTCAGACCTGGACACCAGGTGAGTGAATTAACTACCAGGTATATATAAAAACAGAAGTGTTTCGGCCCTCCAGGACCGGAATTGAAGGAACCAGGACCTAGGCCTATAGGTCTACTCAGGGTGTCAAACTATTCCATGGAGGCCTAGTGTCTGCAGGTTTTATGGTTTTTACTTGCAATAGGCCCCAACAACCAGGTGGGGGGTTCCTTACTAATTAGTGACCTTAATTCATCAATCAAGGACAAGGAGGAGTGAAAAAAACGCAGCCAATAGGCCCTCCGTGGATGAGCTTTGAACATGTGGCAATGATATTGTGCAATGGTAATAACACAAAAAGAACACCTCGAACTTCAAGGATCAGGCTAGGCTATATAACTCCGCTCGCTTGCTTTGTCGCTTCTCAAACGCACCTTTTTATTTTGGTACTGCTAAAGATCCAGTCATAGAAATACAGTAGCAACAGCCATTTCTTTTAGTATCCTTCGGTTTTCTGTCGCCATAATTTCAGATTACATATCTTGATCCTATGCATCGTCGCTGAAGTTTGACCTCAGGAGTTTGTACATCGTATTCACTATTTCTAATTGCTACTAACCATCTTCTGCATCTCTATGCATATTTTACCGGAAAAATGTGAAATTTCGTGCCTTCTTCCCTTGATTTCCTGTAGTCTATAAAGTACAGCCAAGGACCAAACACCAACTTTCTCTTCCAGCCATCTCTTTTCCCTCTTTGTGTAACTAACTTTACCTTCGATAGGCCAACTTTCACACCAGCTCCTTCCCACTCAAAGAAACCGTGCCATCAAGCTCAATGTAAGGGCAGGGTTTCCCCCACGAGGGTGCACATGCTCCGTTGTTACCATCTCCGCTGCTGTGGCAGTCGGCTACATCAAATAATTATATAAAATAATCGCATATGTTTTAAGTGGAAAAGTACACATTTCCAGACTCCAAACCGATAGTACTTTTGTCAAAAAGAGCTAATTCTGCTGTAGGCTTTCAATAAAACAAGGATTTTGTCCACAATTCGCAGACTTGTGGTCCTCTGTAGCTCAATTAGTAGAGCATGGCGCTTGTAACGCCAGGGTAGTGGGTTCGATCCCCGGGACCACCCATACGTAAAAATGTATGCAAACATGACTGTAAGTCGCTTTGGATAAAAGCGTCTGCTAAATGGCATATTATTATATATTATTACTAACAACAGAGCAGAGCGAGGCCTGCATACAGCAACATGAGTCACATGACCCGTTTTTGCAGCTGTCTCAGTTCTGCACTCCAGGGAGAAAGAGGGGGAGAGGGCAAACTCCACTGAACTAGTTTCAAAATAAGGAATCCTTTGGGACTTTCTGGATTTTTTTGTAAACTTCTCCTTTAACTCTGCAACATCCAACTATTGACTTTTTTCACAACTGCCACCAGTTTGAGGCCAAAACATTGACAACAAATACATACTGACATAGTAAAATAAATAAGTGTGTGAAACAAATTATTAAGGATATTTCATGCTGAAACCCTCATATAAAACACCATTGGTATTCACTAAGCTGATGGTTTATATTTAGGAGAACGTTTTACAGCTTTGTCATTACATTTTTTTGTTAGAAATCATCTTATTTAATTCTTTCATATATTTTACACACACCTGTAAAAATCTGAAGTACCCAAAAGGGCCACTAGAATGCTTGTGATAGATTACATAAAATCCTTGAAAGATACCAAAATGCTGGTAGTTTACTGGTAAACTTAGATAGTTTCCAGTAATATACCGTTTCTTTGCGACCCTAATCTGACCACAACCAAGCAAAACAAAACACAGAAAGTAGTGTTTATTAGAGAGAAGTCAACTAATAAACTATGCATTGTTTTGTTTTTTTACATACAGATAATATAATAAATTGCTAAAACCTTCTATTCTATAAACATAAATGATACCTTAAAAAAAGGCAAATGCTGGAATATTTGCAAAGTTTGCTAAATGGAGCATTTACACAGAAAGGCAACAGGACAAAAGAGGCCATAGAATTAGGTCAGAGATGTAGTGTTCAATGCATTGACTATTCTGTTCTATTCTGCTGATGTAAAAAGGGCTTTATAAAATCCATTTGATTGATTGATTGAATTTGATTCCCACTACTTTTCCTCAATTCCTTGAAGAAGTGGATTGGCAATAAGATGAGATGACCACCTCCATTAGTGGAGAGAAGAAAATGTGAAGAGAAAGTTGATCAATTCAACAGACAATGTTCCAAAACATAAAAAATACAATTTCCAAAGAGAAAATGTGAAGGCAGCTCATACCCTGAGAAAATGATTAAATAAAGTTAAAATGTCAATATAAATGTATAAAATCTAAAGGAGAGTGGTTTGACTAAATGTTTACCTGTGACCGGATGTGAGAGGACAGGATGAGCCCAATTCTGACCCTCCCCTTTTCTGTTCAGTCCCACCCCAGAACCCTGACCAACATGCCAATGTAAAGTGAGTTTGAAGGGAAGACTGCCGGGACTTGTTGCTTGTTGGGTTTCAGAGCTGACATGTCTACTCTAGACTAGAGAATAGTCAGAACAAGGGGGAAATCAAGGGTTGAGGGAATAATTTTGCTAGCTTAACCCCATACGTTAAGAATTGGAATGTCACCCCTTGAGATGGGGGTGTTGCCTCATCCTGGTCTTGATGGGGGATTCCCCAGAGTGGACAAGTAGACACAGCGACTGAATAAAAAAGGATAATTGAAATTGGGCTGTAGTGGGTTGACTTTGTCTGAAGTGTAAGTGTAGTCTCAGGGAGGAGCAGAGGAGTAGGTAGCTTAGTGGTTAAGAGCGTTGTGCCAGTAACCGAAAGGTCGCTGGTTCTAATCCCCGAGCCGACTAGGTGAAAAATCTGTCGATGTGCCCTTGAGCAAGGCACTTAACCCTATTTGCTCCTGTAAGTCGCTCTGGATAAGAGTGTCTGCTTAATAAATAATAATAATAATAATAATAATAGTTGAGAGTGGGCAGCTCAAACTGAGTCAGAGGGGAGGGGAGAGGGTTTGAACCCTGAAGGATGAACGGAGCCGCCTCCCCTCCCCCTGCAGCTGAAACCTGGACACAGATGAAAGAACAGAGTTGGTGTGTGTGCGTGTGCAATAATACTGTACATGTAGATAGCAAATTCCATGATCACAAACACACTTTACAGAATTCAGTAAGCAAAATGAAAGAGCAGAAAATACACCTACCAGTGGACTCAAATGTGAGCGCAGCAGGTTGACTGGGTTGGTTGGGGTCATTTGGACCTGACGGTTGGTTGGGGTAACTTGAAGCAGTAGGTTGACTGGGATTCTGCAAATCACATACAGACATGCTGGTGATGTTGGTTTGTATTTGCACATATGTCATGATAGTAAACTGTAAACCACAGGGGGTGTATGTTGATCCCTGGCCTGTCCTGGTGTCGCAGCAGAGCTGTCAGGTTTGGCTGCCAAATAATAATATGCCATTTAGCAGACGCTTTTATCCAAAGCGACTTACAGTCATGCGTGCATACATTTTTGTGTATGGGTGGTCCCGGGGATCGAACCCACTACCTTGGCGTTACAAGCGCCGTGCTCTACCAGTTGAGCTACAGAGGACCACAGCTGCCTGCTTCTTATAGCAACACTTCTTCACACAACAACAACATACAGCCACCACAGCAACGAAAAATCAGAATACACAAATGTAAACCCATACAGGCATAGGTGCTGAGGGAGAGAGAGAGAGCGAGATAATTAGTTAATTTCAAGTAGTTTACAAACTTGTTACAAGTTTACAACCTATTAGATACGTCATCATGAAGAAAATGTGTGGTTGTGTAGCGTAGGTCCTTCAGCTGAAGATGATAACGGCAAAAACACATCCTGAAAATCCTCTAAATATCAGTGTTGAGTGCAAAAAGGAAACTTGTCAGGCTCAGCTGCGTAGGTTGGGGAGCCATGTCCACCCAATCAGA